ACCAGGTTCGAAAGTTTAGGCAACAGCTGTGAAGATAGTGAGATTCATTATGACACCCATTCTCATTGACTATTATCTACTTTTGAACACCTATAATGTTTCCAATGTTTTGGTTCTGTCGGTTTTGTTCTTTACTGTTTTGTTCAATTTTATTATAACTGATGATATAGGCAATTCTACTAGAGATAGTGGGAGACATTATGGTAACCATTGTTGATCACCTTGTATTATGCTTTTACATTATCTATTATGTCCACCCTTTTGATTTGATTGACTCTGTTCTGTTATGTCACATTTGGTTCTACTCCCTTCCAAAAAAAAGTAATAAGAACTGTGGGAGCAACAAAACCCAAAATGTGTAATTGTCATTGTACAAAAGAGAGGAAAAGAAAGTGCTCTAAATGATATAACTGCATGTATACTTAAAGGTATAAGATAGATAATGATATCACTAAGTTTTGTTGGATCATTGAACAGAACTGTTTGCTGTTTGCAGTCTCACTGTTGGAATGTCCACTTTACAAGCTTTAATTTTGTGACTTGAACAATTATTTCTAAGATGACAATATGTAATCTATTAACTAGTGATTTCCTACTATTTATTTTTTTCTATAAATCTGTATAACTTGTACCCTTTCTCTGCTTTTTTTTTCTCCCTAAATAAATTTTTTAAAAAATTTAAAAAAAAGAATAAAAAATGTGAATGAAGAAGCAGGGGTAAACACAAAGCAAATACAGACTATTCAAATAAATAATTAAGAAAAACTTCCCAAGCATAGGAAAAGGAAATGATATTCAGATGTATGAGGCATGCAGAACTCCAGCAATCTACAACCAAAATAGAGTTACACACAGACATATCATAATCAAGATCCCAGAAATTCCTCACAAGTACCCAACATTGAAAGCTGTCAGAGAAAAGAAACGATCACCTCTAAAGGAAAACCCGTCAAAATCATGACAGACTTCTTGACACAAACCATCAAATCAAAAAGAGCTTGGAGTGAACTATTCCAAGCCTTGAAAGAAAATAACCTCCACCCCAGACTGATATTGCCTACAAAACTGTCTCTCAAAATTAATGGAGAAACAAGATGCTTCCATGACAAAGAGGAACTGGGAGAGTTTGTGATCATCAATCCAACCCTACAAAAAATACTGAAGGACATTCTAGAGAGGGAGAAAAAAACCCCAGGATTTCAGGAACAGTGGCAGAGAGGCCTCAATGAATGGGGCAGGCAATGGAATGAAGGAGAAAAGTAGACAACCAATAGCAGAAAAATAGCATAGCAGAAATGAGGCAGAGAAGGTTGGCTATAATCTCTGACATAGATGGCCTTGATTCACTAACAAAAAGAAACACAGGCAGAGTAGATCAGGAGATAGGGTCCATCAAGATGCTCTGTGTATGTTGGTGGGAGTGTAGACTGGTATAACCTTTGTGGAGGTGAGTGTGGAGATTTCTCAGAAAGCTGGGATTGGAAGTCCCATATGTTCCAGCTATTCCACTTCTAGGCATATTACCAGAACTGAAAGCATCATACCACAGTGATATATGTGCACCTATGTTTATAGCTGCACAAAGATATGAAAAGCTATAATCTGGAAAGTGAGCTCCCACTACTCAAGCTGCCAGGCAGCTGCTTTCTCAGGAAAACAGCCTCCCATAGATCACATAATCTGGGCCTGTTTGATTCTACAATTTGTGTCCTGCTTGGGCAGGACTGACTGTCGTCTCACTCAGTTTGAGTCTGCATGGGAACTCACTAATATTACTTCTGGGTCATCAGGACAGACCAAGGATGTTCTGGATGGAGGTGTTATCTCAGCATTCTTTTCTGTCTTGGCATTTCCCCATGCTCACATCAGTGACCTGTCTGTCTGTGCTCTTGAAATATTGCAGGTGATGGTTCAGTTTTCCAAGTCTTGGTTACCTAACATGGTACAATTGAACCACTGTTGGCTCTTCTTGAAGTTCCTTGTATGTCATCATTAGAAGGTGGTTACATAATCTTATCTGGACACTTTCATACCTTTGCTGCAATGAGAATCCTGCATAGCTGTTAGATACTGTTGAGCAAATTCTTTCTCTCTTGGTTCATCTCCTGTAGACGGTGATCTTATTTCTTACCTTACCAGTGGTCCAAATGAACGCACTGAAGTAGTTGTAAAAACAGGAGTTGTGCACCATCTGCTGAAACTTCTAGGATCAAGTGAATTGTCCGTTCTGCCTCCCGTGCTACTAGCCATAGGGAATAATGTCACTGGAAAAGAAGAGACTCAGATTGTGAGAGATGCAGGATCATCTGCTGCTTTTCCCAGCCTGCTCATTCACCCCAAAACTAATCTTCAAAAGGAAGCTACATGGACAGAGTCAAACATCACAGTTGGCCAACAGGACCAGATACAGCAAGTTGTCCATCATGGATTAGTCCCTTTCCTTGTCAGTGTCCTAAGGCAGACTTTATGACTCAGAAGAAAGCTGTGTGGGCCGTGACCAACTACATGAACCATGGGGCAGTTGGCCAGGTTTATACTTTGTGCAGTCTAGTAAAATAGAACCATTGATAACTGCGAAAGATAGGAAAATTATTTTTGTTCTTCTGGATGCCATTTCAAATATTTTTCAGGCTGCTAGAATCTAGACAAAACTGAGCAGCTTAGTGTAATGATCAAAGAATGCGGGCGTTTGGCAAGCTTGAAGGTCTACGAGACTGTGAGAATGAGTCTGTGAATAAGGTCTCATTAAACTTGATTGAGAAGTATGTAGAGCAAGATCAAAATGTTGTGCCAGAAACTACCTCTGAAGGCTGCACTTTCCGGATTTAGGATTTGGCTCCTGGTACCTTTATCTTCTACGCATGCAGCTGAGGGACGCATCAATTTTTCTTGTGTCCTATGTTTGGCACAAGTTTGTCTGCTTCTCTACTGAGAACTCTTTTTTAAAATGTGATTTGTGTTTGTAGCACTTCTTACAATGAAACTATACTTGAACAGTTGCAAACTGTAAATATTATATGAAGGTTATCCCCTGAAGGGTTTCTTAGCACTATGTGGAATCTCATATCTTGCATTTTCCTGTGAATAAACATTAACTTCCATTCTTTGCTTTGCCATTCTAAAAAATTAAATCACTAAATTCAATTAGTAGGACAATCTATTCATTGGTGTCACCTGATATGTATTCTACTTTATGTAGCAGCTAAATTAGTGCCCTTAATCATGTGATTACATTGATAAGAAATCTTGAAACATAATGTATATGTCCTTACCATATCTTATAGACTACTAGTTATCTCCTAAATTAATGGGTATAGGCTATAAACCCAAAATTATTTCCCCACAGATGTGACTTCTTTGCATCTCCTGCTCTCCTTGCCTTCCTCTCCCCAACCTTTTCGCTGGAGACTAATCTCAAATAAATTCAGATCCCTGCACATGCTAAGCACATACTCTACCTCTGAAATTCACCTTCAGCCCTTCTCTTATGTGTTGATGTATGTGGTAACCTCAAGAAGCGGGGCATTTTACACAAAACACTAAATGTGTTCCCTCCACATCGCAACAGGTGAAGTAAGAATTACAGAGTAGACTCAAGCAAGTTAAAGAAATCTAAGTAGTTCATTTCACAACTCTTTTGTGAAATGATATCTTTTGAAAAATAATTAGTAGAGTGTTGTTCTCCAAGGACGCAGTTGTATACATTTACTTATTTAATAAAAATTCATTCTATAACGGGTGCTCATGATTTCATATCTGAATATTTCTGGAAATAGAATTTATGGACTGTTTAAGAGGTTTAGGCCTGCATCAGCTTTACTTGACACTGGTTCCTTCTATGAATTCATCTCCCTCCCTTTATTCATTTGGCCATCATATTCATCCTCCTGACTATTGAGAGTGATTGATCTCTGGAACAGATGTGACCATGAGCCACTGTTCAAAGCACTGATGCGCAAACATCTCAAAGTTACCTTTAGGCTTGCATGATCTGACTTCTACTTCTGTATGTTCAGCCTTCTCATCTGTCTGCCCTCATTGATCTCAGGCATTCCTAAACAGCTAGTGATATTTTCCATTGTGATTCCTCTATTTTTAGATCAGTATCATTCCCATTTAATATTTTTTTCTCTTGCTACTACCTTTCATACTCCCACAATTCCCTGCCTTGTGTCTGGCTAACCTCACTCTAATTCTAAGCTCATCATTACCTCTAGAAAAGCCATTCCCGATACCTTTTATTTATGCTCTCTAAACCCCAGTGCTTAGCACTTAGCAAGAATTCCATAAATAGTTTTTGAGTAAGATGAAGGAAGACTTGTATACAAAGAAGATTTAAAAGATTGTCCCATGCAATACAGGATCAAAAAGTTTAATAAGGAAGTAAGTTTGTTGTTTGTGTGGTAAAGATACAGTGGAAACATTGATGAAAGGGAGCCCCAAAGAAAGAAGCAGTTGTTTTATGTGGAGAAGGTAAACATAATCAAGAAATAATTCACATTATAAACTGAGTCTTAAAAGATTTTTTAAAATGTTGCCAGAAGAGTGGATGAAGACATTGCAGACATAAAGAAAAGGGTGTTCACTGATAAACATGTAAAGGTAATAGTAATTTACAGACCTTTAATAATAACATGCTGAGCTGTTTAAAAGTAGCCAAGATGTGTGGGAGAATAATGCATAGAGTGGATTTATATGTTTCTGTTGTATTTGAAATATTTCTGACTTCCATCTATGCTTAGGGAGTAAATTCATGATGAAGCTCTAAGAGGTCCCTATATCTTCAATATAGTGATATCTAATATCTTTCCAAATAATTTGTTAATTTGGGGATAATTACAAGTATTTCTATGTAAATATCCAAAAATTAGGATTAATTCAATTATTTAATTCTTAACTGGAAAATAAAAATAAATTTGTATTAGTTTTTCTACTTCATAAAAACTCACTTTTTATCTGTTCTAAGTAGTTTATTTTACATAAATATATAAATTTTTCAGAAGAACTGAACATAGAAGTGACATTAAAGGAAGATTTGAGAAGACGTGATGACAGTGAAAACAGCCAGGACCAGGTAAGTAAAAATGTAAATTTATATGCCTAGTTTAACATTGTTTTGTTTTCTTTAATAATATAGTATAAGCCAAATGAAATGACTTTTCTGACTCACATTTTAGAATCAGTGGTTTATGATTTAATATTTACTTTTGAAAATATTTCAGTCATGCCAAGGACGTGGCTCAGTGACACAAATGCCGGCCTGCATATACCCCTGAGTTTGATTCCTGAGACCCCCTCCAAAAGAAAAAACTTTTAACCAGTTATAAACAAGTTATTCTTAGAATCTATAGTAACTTATGTCTAAGTTTTAGATTTAAGGCAAAAGTGCTTCCATGTGTGCAATGTTCTTAAATGACGAAGAAAGGGAGTCCAGGTTCAAGCCCTTTTGTTAAGCAGCTCATGTTAGGGCCAGTGGAACAGTGATGACCACTGTTGGATGCACAACAAATGGTGATCATTCCCAGAGCCTCAGCAATGTATTCCTGAGTCCTGTTAGAAAGGAAAGAGACAATATGGTAACTACTTTTAGGTCAGGATTATCTGGTGGTGAAACACTATTCTGCTTAAATGGTTATGTTTTGATCTGCGCTGTTTGGCTGTTATGCCCTCTTTTATCTCAATCTCCACTCCATTATTTACTTTTTTATTTTTATCCTTTTAATTAAAGGAAAAAAATAGCAGGATATATTATAGTAACCCACTTTGACTTTCCATTACCTCAATTTAAAGCCCTGTATTACTCTCACTATCTGGTTTTTAACTGATGCTCCCCTATTCTGTTTTGCTGGATAGTGTCAGGTTCAAAAGTTTAGGCATCAGCTGTGAAGATAATGAGATTCATTATAACGCCCATTCTCTTTTATCTACTTTTGAAGACCTCCAATGTCTCCAATGTTTTGGTTTTGTCGGTTTTATTCTTTACTGTTTTGTTCAATTGTATTATAACTAACGATATAGGCAATTCTATTAGAGATAGTGGGAGGCATTATGGTAACCACTGTTGATCACCTTGTATTATGTTTTCACATTATCTATTATGTCCACCCTTTTGACTTGACCGATTCTGTTCTGTTATGTCACATTTGGTTTTACTCTCTTCCAAAAAAGTAATAAGAACCGTGGGAGCAATGAAACCCAAAATGTGTAATAGTCATTGTACAAAAGAGAGGAAAAGAAAGTGCTCTAAACTATATAACTGCATGTATATTTAAGTGTATAAGATAGAAAATGATATCACAGAGTTTTATTGGATCATTGAACAGATCTGTTTGCAGTATCATTGATGGAATGTCCACTTTACAAGCTTTAATTTTGTGACTTGAACAATTATTTCTAAGATGACAATATGTAATCCATTAACTAGTGATTTCCTACTGTTCATTTTTTTTCTGTAAATCTGTATAACTTGTGCCCTTTCTCTGCTTTTTTTTCTCCTTAAATAAAATTAAAAAAAAAGAATTGAATTGTACTTTCTAGTCTCTAGCTAACTCCATTGCCTACATTGAACGGTCATAAAGTCAACCCAGCTGCAAAGACTCATACCTTCCCAACTGAGACTTTGGTGTTAGGGTACAAACAATAATTTCTTACTTCAATGTAAGAAATCAGTAAGTACTTCATCCACTCTGTGTAGTAAACATTAGAATATATTAGAAGTGGATTTAACAAACGTAGTTCACATGGATGCGCAACACTTTTGTGGTATAAATTTGAATCACTCTGACTGGTGACCTTGTCTCTCAGTAATTTAAAGTCTACCTATACTCCAGTTAGTAAGCTTTAGAACAAAGGACTTTTTAATGAAGGATTCGCTGTTTAAAGGGTGACATTTTAGTTAAGTTTCTCATTGATAAGGCAAAATACCCAGCACCCAAAGTAAAATGAAGAAAGGTTTATTTAGCTCATGATTTGTAGAGATTTCAGTCAGTAATCTGTTGGGCCCAAGGTAGGGCTGCATGGCAGAGGGGCAAACATGCATGTTGCCAGAAGACATCAAATGCAGCAGAAGACCTGAATAGGGTCTTCACTTTTTATCTTGTCCAGACTACTAGGATTAGGGTGATGCCAAACCAATCAGTGAATTGATGTAGCAGGCACACCCTTAATTCCAGTACCACAAACTAGATTCAGTGACCTCTGAAAAAGCTCTATGACTGCATGGGTCTTTGAGGGGACAGGTAGGCCCAAGCCATAACAAATGGTAAGATAAAATATCTTTATATGGGAACAGATTTATAATATTAAAGATCACTTAGTACATATTTTTAAATTTAGAACATAAGTTTAGTCTACACACAGATAAAGTGAAGGTGTTGGTTCATGTTTTTCTCTTTGTTTTAAGGTAAGGTAGATTATTTTTCAACCACTTTGTTGCAGTCCACTGAGGAAGAAGTAGCTATGTAAATTAAGTCATCAATGAGACAGGCTAAATTTTAATTTTCTACTTTCCCTTTTTCCAAACTTTGTGGTTTCTTAAGAAGAATATTATGTTAAAAATATGCTCCCCTGAAGAAAAGGCATCAAGAATCAGACCAAGGAAACTAATCTTCCACTTCTACATTTGGAAAAAGTCTCTTAAGAATCAGAAACCATTATAGATTTTGAGAGATTGGATATATCTTTACACTTGGGAACTCATTATGTGAAAAAGTATAAGAAAAATTGATCAAAAACCATATAACCATGTATCACTGTAATATATTTTCTTTAACTCTTTTGGGATGATGCCTGGAAAGAAAATAATTAGAACAAGTGGAATTTCTAATTTTAGTTTTTGAGGGATCCCCATACTGATTCCCATGGTGGTTATTCTAGTTTACATTCCACCAACCATGTAAAATGGTCTCTTTTTCCCACAACCTCTCCAGCATTTGCTGTTTTTGATTTTCTTGATAACCATCCTTCCTGGAATAATCTGGAGTCTTACTGTTAATTTTTAATTTGGATTGCTTTAATGATCAGTGATTTTCAACAATTTTTCATGTACTTATTGACTACTTGTATTTCTTCTGAAAAGTAGACTCATTTCAGTTGCCCTTTTTAAAACTGAGTCTTTTATTGTGGGGGGTCTATTTTGCTGATTTTTTAAAAAGAGGGTAAAATTAAACATAACAAAACATCATAAGATAACAATATAAAAGACACAGATTGCAAAGCAAGACAACTGGAGATCTTCACTGTCTATCATTTTTTCTCTTGTTTTCTTCCAAATAGTTGTCCATATCGCCACATACAATGAATGCATACAAAACATAATTGTATAGAACTGATCAGAACAGGATGATGAAGGCATTTTAGGTCTTTAAGACCAGACAATAGGGAAGTCAACAATGGCTGCCATAACGTCTCTTACTCTCTTCAAAATAGCTGTCCATACTTTCATGTATGTTGAAATTAAACCAAACAAAACAGGCTAAAATCACTCTGACCAAAGAATAATAGTATTGCTGAATTTCACATCATGATGCTATGGAATCAGCACTGGTAACCTTAGTGTCTATTTCTTCAGAGTAGCTGTTCATCTCATCATGCATTATATTATCAACTCTCATGAACTTTTTAGAAGTTCTACACATGCATGAGTTTCTGCATGTATACCTGTCCTTTCTGTATTAGAGGGAAAAGCAAAACAAGACAAAACAAAACAAATTACTAGAAAAACCTGAAACAAAAAAGACATATAGACAACAATAGAAAGAGCCTAGAACACTGAAAATATAGGCCTTCAAAACAAGGTGGTAGGAGCATAACTAGGGTTGTTATTTTATGTAACGATCTTCAAGAGTTCCTCAGATAACTATACAATAATATTCACAATTGTTCCAATCCTATGTGAGTTTGATTTATTTCACTTGTGAGTATGGTCTCAAGTTGCATCCATTTACTTATAAATATCTCAATGTGATCATTTTTTATAGCACAGTAGTACTCCTTTGTATAAAAATATCACATCTTTTTTATCCATTCCTCAGTTGATGGGCATTTAAGTTTTTCCAAGATCTGACTATTTCAAATTGTGCCTATAAACATGGCTGCACATGTATCACTGTGGCATGATGATTTCAGTTCTTCTGGGAATATGCCCACAAGTGGGATAGCTGGGTCAAATGGGATGTCCAATCCCAGCTTTTTGAGGAATCTCCAGATTGACCTCCATAGTGGTTGCACATCCCCACCAACAGTGCAGAAGTGTTCCTTTTTCCCTTCAGCCTCTCCAGCTTTTGTTGTTGGTAGTTTTGTTTATCCTGGCCATTCTTTCTGGAGTGAGATGAAACCTCAGTGTTGTTTTAATGTGCATTTCTCTAATGATCAATGATGCTGAATTCTTTCATGTATTTATTTGCCACTTGTATTTCTTCATCTGAGAAGTGTGTGTTCATCTCAGATGCCCATTTTTGGAATGGGTCTTTGAATTTGGGCATCTGATTTTTTAAATTCTTTATATATTCTAGACAGAAGTTCTTTGTCTGAGGGACCGTTCACTAAGATTTTTTTCCAATTTGTGGGTTTTCTTTTGGCTATGCTGGATATTTTTTTGACATGTAAAAAATTCTTTAATAGGACGTGATCCCAGTTATTGATTCTGTGAAGCATTTCACGTGCAGTTTGAGTCTTATTCATGAATTCTGTACCTACCCCTATGTATTCAAGATTTCTACCTACTTTGTTTTCCAACAAACTTACTGTTTCTGTCTTAAGATTTTTAGATCTTTCATGCATTTAGTTAGTTTAGTACACTGTGACAGGCATGGTTCTAGTTTTAGTTTTTGGCCTATGGAGAGCCAATTTTTCCAGCGCTATTCATTGAAGAAACTATCTTTCTTCCAGTGGACATGTTTGGCCCCCTTATCAAAGAAAAAGTGGCTGAGTGTGTTTGTTATTGTATCTTCTAATGTATTCTATTGATCTTTACATCTGTTTTTATTCCATACCATGCTGATTTTATTACAGTAGCTTTGTACTATAACTTCAATTCAGGGATTGTGGTTCCTCCTGCCTTGCCTTTGTTGCTTAGAACTGCCTTTGCTATTCTGGGTCTCTTCTGGTTTCAGATGAATTTTAGGGGTGATTTCTCTAGATCTGTGAGGTATGCTAATGGTATTTTGATTGGGATTACATTAAAGTTATATAACACTTTTGGGAGAATGGCCATTTTCACAATGCTCGTTCTTCCTATCCATGAACAAGGGATGTCTTTCAATTTTCTGAGATTCCCTTCAATTTCTTTTTTAAGGGTATCATAGTTTTCCCTGGACAGATCTTTTGTCTCTTTTTTCAGATTAGATCGTAAGTATTTCATTTTGTTGTTGATATATATTGTAAAGGGTATGGCTTCTCTTATTTCTCTCAGTGGTTTTGTTGTTAGTGTATAGGAATGCTATTGATTTTTGAGTGTTGAATTTGTATCCATCTACTTTACTGAATTTATTTATTATACCTAGGAGTGTTTCAATGGAGTTTTGGGGTCGTCTGTGTAGAGTATCATGTCACCTGCAAATAATGATAATTTAACTTCCTCTTATTCTGTCTTTACTCCTTTTATTTCTCTCTCTTGTCCAATTGCTCTGGCTAGTATTTACAGTACTGTGTTGAATAGGAGTGGTGGTAAGGGACATCCTTGTCTTGTGCCTAATTTTAAGGTAGAGGCTTTCATTTTCTGGCCATTTAATATGATGCTGGCTGTTGGTTTGTCATAGATAGCCTTTATCATATTGAGGTAAAAACCATCTATTCCCATTTTCTGTAAGGTTTTTTTTTTATGATGAATAAGTGTTGGACCTTATCAAAGTTTTTTTTGTATGTGTAGGAATGATCATGTGGTTCTTATTTTTGGCTCTATTGATATGGTGGATTAAATTTATTGATTTGTGTATGTTGAACATACACATTGTTCCTTGCATTCCTGGAATGCATTCCTGGGTTGAACCCCACTTGGTCATGGTGTATAATAATCTTGATGATTTGGTGCATTCTGTTTGCCTAAATTTTATTGAGAATTTTTGCATCTATGTTCATTGGGGAGATTGGCCTATAATTCTCTTTTTTGGTTGGGTGTTTGGTATAAGGTTTTGGTATTAGAGTAATGTTTGCTTTCAGGAATGAGTTAGGGAGAATTATTCCCCTTTCAATTTCATCAAAGAGTTTGAGGAATGTCAGCATTAAATCTTCTTTGAATTTCTTGTAGAATTACACAGTGAATCTGTCTAGACCTGGGGTCTTCTTTGTTGGTAGGGATTTAATTACATTTTCAATTTCATTAATTGAAATTGTGTTTTTCAGAAGTTTTACATCTTATTGACCCAGCTTTGGTAATTCATGTATTTCTAGGAATCTCTCCATTTCTTCTGTGTAATCAAGCCTATGAGAGTAGAAGTTTTCAAAAGAGATTTTCACAGGGTCTGTTGTGATTTCATCTTTTTCATTCCTTATTACATGAATTTGAGTTTTTTCCTTACTTTTAATAAGGTTGGCTAGAGGCCTGTCAATTTTATTTATTCTTTCAAAGAACCAACTTTGTTATTCATTTATTCTTCATATTGTTTACTTAGTCTCTATTGCATTGTTTTCTGCTCTGACCTTTATAATTTCCTCCCTTCTTTGGGCTTTAGAAGTGATTTCTGAATTACTTGGTTGTTTACATTTACTGCCACCATTTCATTGCTTTTTACTGGGCTATCTTCTTAGCTCCATTTTGGTCATTCGTATGTGCCTAGAAATCTATTTTTTCTATAGTCTGACAATTTATTAAATAGAGGTTTTCAAAGTTGTTACTTTGAATCTAGGTTTTTTTCTTGCCAGTGTCCATGGTGATTTTGCAGGATAGAAAAGATTTAAGCATGAAATAGGCATGTTACAAGTAGATTTCTTGGCTTTGTAGAAAGGCACATTTAAGTAAACCTTGCTTGGTGGCACAAACCTGTTACCCAGCACTCTGGGAAGCCAAGGCAGGAAGATAGCAAGTTTGAGCCCAAAGGGAGCATCTTAACAGCTTAGAAAAACCCTGTCTCAGCATTGAAAATGTATATAACAGATACATCCCAGGGTTATACCCTCCTCACCCCTGCAAAATTTTGTGGTAACCATGGATGGTTATGGAATACACACTTGTATTCACAGCTCCTTAGGCTGAAGCAAGAGGACTCCCATTACAATCCCATCCTGGGCACCTTAGTAAGACCCTATCTCCTCTAGAAATAAAAAGGCCATCCTGGCTTATAGCTCAGTGGCAGAGCACTTGCAGAACATAGAAGAGTAGTTTACACAGTGCTAGTCGGTTTTGCTCTTTACTAGTTACATTCTGGTTTCCACTTGTGAAGAGTTCACATATAAAATGAGGTTATCTAAATATGAAAATATGTCCAGAAAGAGTTCATTTCTACTATCTAAATAGTGGGAATTTGGGAAACCATTCTTGTGATCCTTGTTCCTTCATCAGCGTTTTTCTGAGTCTCCCAAGTTGCATGTAACCTGGGACAGTATTAGTGCCCTTACCTTGTGACCTGAACCAAGATAAACACAGAGCAAGTTGCTTGCAAAAACTAACATCTGAAGTTTTATTTGTCTATTACTTTAGTGATAAATTGCATTTGCTATGTTTACACCATAAAAGAAGTTGAAATGCAACAGAAGCAATGAGTGAGATTTAAAAGTCTATCTATGTTTGAGATTTGCTGTGAATCTTCCTAGTCAAATGAGTCCATTTTTCTACTGTCATGTGTGCAAATTTACCTTTTTACTCAAATCACTCATGGACTGTGTAATTCCAAGATGACCACCTATTTCCACATATTTATTATTACTGCTCTTAAATTTTATTTCTGAATAATCACACTTGTAATTTATTGGCTTGATTTTTTTGAGTTCACCTGGTAATCTGTCCATTCCTGCATTATACAATTGTATTCTCTATTGGTGTCATGAGGTGCAGGAAATGCCACTGAGAAGCTTTGCAGGAATCATTTAATCTGAATTACTTCTGATTCCCTGTGTTTGTTGTGTTGGCTTAAGTATATATTTCAGTGAGTACCTACAACTGTCTTGAAATCCCAGTTAGAGTATCCAAATGGAAAAAGAATTGTGAAAGGCAAGGGAAAGAATACCTTGATCCTGAAATTGTAAGAGTCTTTTGTTCCAGAAAGCCCTACAGTAACACATTCTCTAAACAAAAGACCCACTATGCCTTTGACTTTTTATTTCTACCAATAATACAGGGGATGAAAATGTTGGATAGCAAGGTGAATGAAAATAAAACCTAGTGCTTTTCAAAATTTGGAAAGTTCTGTTTCTTTCACTCAAACAAAAATGGAGCAGAATGTGCAAAAATTTCATTGACCTGTAATGATAAGGTAGACACAAAAATATTGTTTATGCCTCAGCGTGGTGGCACATTCCTGTACTCCCAATACCCTGGAAGGCTGAGGCAGGAAGATCACATGTTTGATTCCAGCCTTGGTGACATGATCCCAGTGGTGTCCTGTCAGAAAATTTAATATAAAGGGTGGAGGATATAATTCAGGGTGAAGGTCCTGGCTTCAATCACCAGTGCTGCAGAAAAAAATACATGTCTTTCTGGACTGAAATAATGACAGCTGAACTGAGTCAAGTGATATAAAGAACAAAATATTTAATAAAGTCAGTGAGTGAAAAGTAAGTTTTCCTTTACATCAAACTTTCTTTAAAGGTTGAAGGAAAAAGAAAGAGTGGAAAAACTGACACCCAGCAGTTGCCTACTGAGAAGAAAGAAGAACATGATAGGTAAGACTATGGAAATATTTGACCATAAATAGTTACTGTTCTGTACAACAAAATCTAACGTGAGCCTGTATTTGTGATTAAGAAGTTATTTGCTTTTACTAGAGATACTCAGCTTTGAATGACTGTCAGAAAAATACAGACAATTTAGATATCATTTTTCCAATTATCTTGAGAAATGTTTTTTAAACATTTGGATGAATTAGCCAGTCTGAGGAAACAGACATCATTATGTACTGTTAGTAAGTGAAATTATGAAGTGCATTTGAACAATTTAATAGCATTAATTAAATCTCAATGATTTCATTGTTTTAATCTAATGCCTTCTCTTATGAAACTGAATCCTTCTTGGAAAGGAATACAAGATCCATGATCACACACATGTACATAGCTATTAAAGACATTTAATGTACATATCCTCTAGGCTAAAATTGGTGAGTGTATATACTTCATATACATAATATGAGCATTAAGCTGGTATAACAGGTTGATAATAATTATGTAAATGTGTTACCTATATACATTCATATGTTGAAGGATTAACTATTAACATTCTCATAAAGTGTGAGATAGTCTAGATGCTTAGCAGTAAGGAAATAATTGAATTGCTATATCCATAAAATAATATAGCATGGAGCCTTTAGATAATATTCATTGTGATTATTTCACAAAATATTTTTAAAGCATTGTTTAATAATACGTCTTCAGCAAATTTGCTGTAATACTTGTTATATGTGCTAAGTTGCCAAAGAAAGTTGCAGGCTGCACTGAAGATCTTATTACCAAGAAATTTGGTAGCTGTTAGACTTTTGCTTTTTCTCAGGATATAAGTACTGTAATCTGGACCTTCATGTTCATCTGAATATTGCCAAAGGATTGCATGAGGATCCATGATTGATTAGTTTTCAGTATATTAGGTAAAAATCCTTTAAAATGTCACCAAAGGGTCTTTTAGTAGTAAATCAAGAATTAACTTTTTTCTGCAAAGATCAAGTAGTAGATATTTTAGGCTTCATGGCATGAAATCTCTTTTGTGGTCATCTAGAATCTGAGGTAGACAACAAATGAATGTCTGTGGCTACATTTCAGCAAAATTGATCTACAGAGCTGAGGGATAGTTCTGTATTAGAGCACTTGCCTAACTCACAAGAGGCCTTGGGATTCGTCTCCAGCACTGCCAATAAAGAAGAATTTATTTTAAAGTTAGATGATAGACTGGAATTGCTCCACTGACAATGATTCACTAAACCTTAATGCTAAACCCTAGTTTGCTGCTAATGTACTAAGCCGGTCTTTTAAAGTTTCCCACGTGTACATCATTGTCTCATTTTTACAGATAATGCACTCCACTGTATTTTTCAGCAGTGAATATAGAAAACTTACAAAATTCAATTTATAAATTAAAGTTACTTTATTTCCCTTCCTCATACATATTTTATGTTTTTCCTGTCTTATTTGTTGTTGTGGAGTGTATACTTTACTGTCGTCCATAGAATTTGTGTGTATTTACTACAATATCACCAGTGCATACAAAAAGGTGTAGCACACAGTGAGTAGCTAGTCAGTATTTACTCAGTGTGAGTAGAGTTTACTCCTTGTGTATTATTTTAAACAGTATGCTAATTTGTCACTTACAGAAGTTTGACTTAGGAAGCTGAGGCAGAAGGATTGCAAAAGCGAATCCTGCTTAAGAAGCTGAGCAGGTCCTTGCCTCAAAATAGAAAGGGACTGGGGGTAGCGCTCAGTGTTAGGACACTCTTGATTCAACCTCCTGTACTAGAAAAAAGGGTTCAGGAAGAAAATTCATTCTGAAAGTTTTAGTTTTTACTCTACATTAATATTTTTTTCATTTAGGAAGAAATTTTGAATATTGTGATTCTTCATTCTTTTAGGGTAGTTTCACTTACAGTACAGTGGATTAAAAGAATTGCAGGCTTCATTTGTAGTTTATTAAGAAAAATAAAACACAAAGATATTAAATTTAATAGGCTTCAAAAAATATCATGGCCAAAGGACTAAAACTTTCTAAACTGAAATTAAAAGACAAAATTGGAATGTACTGTGTTGCTTCCTCTGGAAAGAGAGAGCTATGCTGGTTGGGCATGGTGTTGTTATAACACAGGTGCCTGAGTGCTACCTCAGTTCTTGATCTTGATTTTTTTCTGTGATTCTGGTTGCAAACTGAGTTGAGTCAGAACCAAATAAAAGTTAGTGGTTGAGCTGAGCATGGTGGCACACACCTGCAATCCAGCAAGTTTGACTTGGGATGCTGAGACACGAGGGTTGCTGTGAGTTTGAGACTTGTCTTGGCTACATAAATGAGTTCTAGGCCAGCCTGTACCTCATGGTAAGATGCTGTCTCTAAAATTTTTTTGTTCTGTGGGTAGGTTCAGTGTTGATCTTAATTGGTTTAGATTTGATTTAGTTCTTGTCCAGTTTGTTTTGCCATCAGGATTGTGGAGACAATTGAGTTTGTGAACCCAGGTACCATTGTATATGATTTTGCAAAGAGTAGAATTTAAAAACTGGCCAAACTTCAGAAGGAAAGTGATTTTCCATCTGTAGCTATATTAGTGTGCCTTGCAGGAAGCAAAGTGTTAGCATTAAGTGGTTGTTTGGTTGGATGCTTGGTTGTTTGGTGGGTGAAGCCAGTGACAGTTGACTGAATCAACACGGGGTTGCCACAACTCCAGTCAGTCCTTTCGTAGGCTTGGACTAATTTCAACCCAATGCTTTGTTTAAAAATTATTTTTCATCTACTGCTTAAAATGAACAATTTCATACTCTAGAGTTGTAACCTTGTTTTTGAATTGAGTTGCTTAAATGACTTTTTATTTTTAAAGCAGTGGACCCAACGTGCCTTTGAGGAAAGTAAAGAATAAACATAAACAGCAGCACTCCACGGAATCTGTGACTTCCTTAGTGTCTAACAAGGCCCATTTCCTGTTTGCTAGTCTCCAACAAGTGATGTGTATTTAAAGATTACAAGACACTGTCAAAGATGGAGGAAGTTAAAACCTCTGTAAATGTTTTATTTTCCTTTAATGGAATGTTAGCAGGAATTGCTTTTCTAGAAATAAAACAGAACAGTGTAGTCTACAGGGAAAGCAAGAGGATACCCAGCCTCATCATTGCTGCAGAAAGATTGGCTAAGAGAAGCACAAATGAATTTGACAAAGAGCAGTTTCAACACTGGTCACACAGGAAGCTGACTACTGGGGACGATCGGACAACACTTCAGACACCTTTCACTGGGAAAGTTAGGGAAGCAGGTGTTCTGAGCAAGAATGCAGCATTTAAGAGTTGTTTTCTTAAGATTTTAGAGTGTATGCATACACCACTAGAAACCATCAGTAGAGAAAGATATGTTTATTCATTTTAATTTTTAAGAATATTTGTAAAACTCAGAAATTATGTGATTATAACTGACAATGGATGCTGATATGGATTAACACAATCACAGTGGAGCCACACTTGCATGCCTTTCAGTGCTGCCCAGCAGGATAGTCATGCCTGTGCCATCAGTGTTTGAAGCTGTGGGAAATGTCAATGTGGTCTTAACATCACTTAACAACACTAAATGCTTAAAGGTAGTTATTTCATAACATAAGGCATACTCCCACGATGTCACAGTTCAGAGTTCTCAGCCTCACTCTTTCACTGATTTTTAGTTGGATCCTAACATTTTTTCACAGAGCCCCCCACAGTTTCATGGCAACCACAGGGATCCTCCACAAGGAGTTTCTGGCAGGAGGTTTGCGAGTAGTGCATTCACACGTTACTCAGTTCTTCTGGCTTTGGAGTGCTTGCTGCCTTGTAACCCATCTCTGCATTGTAACAGGTTGATGCACTGCATGTGTCTGTCTCCATTGTTGTCAGTTGTGTTCTTAAAAACCCTAAGATCCCAATGATGCTGCCAAAATGCCCCACACTAAAGTTTCATCAATACAATATTTTATTAAATTACGTAATTCCAGAAGTCATAGCATATTTAGAGTTTAAACTATAAAAAAGGCATTGATAAGCATTTTTATGATCATATCTGAAATTTGCAGTCTTTTGCAATTGCAAGTGCTCTAGGACCAGTACTGTGCATTTAGGGAATCCACTGTACTGTGGAACATTCCTGGGTTTAAATTCTTACTGTCTGTACTTGCACATGTGCAAGTTACTTGGCATATCTTCACCTACCTTAGTGATGTATAAAATAAGATGTTACCTCTCAGAATTGTGTTTCACACACACACACACACACACACACACACTCTTCAAGTAGGTGTGCCCTTTGGAAGAGATTAAATTGAAAGATATAAAATATGACAGATAGGAAGGAAAAATATTTGAAAGCATTTCATTAGGATACTAAATCAACATATACAGCCAGATCATAGCTAGAACTTTATATTTTCTAAAAAATGCATGTTATATTTTCTTCTATTTTGACATGAATAAAACAATAAATAAAACCAATCAAAACAAAACAGTGAAAGTGATACACGACTTTAAAACCAGACCATAAGAAATCAACAATGGCTACCATAATGCCTCTTGTTGTCTTCAAAATAGCCGGCCATACCATCAGACATTATAAAATGAAACAAAACAGAACAGAAACCAATCAAAACAAAACAATGAAAGCAATGGAAGACTTCAAAAACAAGATAATAAGAAATCACCATCAGCTTCAATAGTATGTCTTGTTATCTTTGAAATAGCTGTCAATAAACAGAATAAAATGAAACAAAGTAAAACAGAATAAAACTAACACAAGCCAAACAAAACCCTGAAAGTGATACAGAACTTTAAAACAAGATAATAGGGAATTAACAGTGGCTTTCGCCTTTAGAAGGAACTCTCCCATAGCTGCTATACTGCATATTATTTTCCACCAAGTAAATGCTCAGAGCACTGGGCTAGGCCTGCAAAGTGAAATGCTAAACACTACAGGCTTAAGTTGTTTTTCTTCCTGCCTCAGTAGCTATTATCCCAGCCTGTATGTCTGTGATCAGCTGGTTGCTTGCAGGGGTTGGGAGGAGCTCAGCTCTTATCTCCCAGCCCAACTGCTGGCTCACAGGAAGCCATTGGCTTCATATTTCTACTTCCCTTGGCCTGTGACTGTCACTGACTCAGAGGAAGGGGTTGGCTTGTTGATCCACTTTAAAAATACATTTTAAATACACAGGTTTCACTTCAGACTTGTCTTAAAAGAAGAGGACAAGAGAAAAAGTCTCAAGGAAAAATGTTCTCAAGAAGTTGAAGCAAAACAACAGCTTGAAATTTCTTATGCAACACTTGAAATGGAATTCAAAGCTTCAAAAGTGAATCAGGTAAATTAATCTTTGATGAAAATTTTATATTGCTGTTGTATTGGCATTGTAGTATTTCTTTGATTGCATATTTACTCATGCATTGCTTACATTGAGAATATGATCCAAAGCATGTGTGGTTTGTTATTTTCATTATTATCCAAATGTAAGCAGGTGGCCACACACACTTACATCTCCCACATCACTGGGCGATATCGTTTCAAGGACCATAGTTGAGCATGCAGTCCAGTGTTGAACAAAACATTCTTATACATCACACGTCCCTATTATGTGGGTTGAAAACAAAATGTTAAATCACCCTCAGAAAACCTCACATAGACAGCTAACTGTATTTATTATAAATGTTGACATCTAATAGCTCAGTTTGTTTACTGAATAAAGAAATGAAAGGAGTTTAATCATGAACACAAGTGTCAATTTGAGTATTCTTATGATTTAGCTAACTTTGAAGCTAGTGAAGTGTTTCTTAATGAAATTTTATTTTATACCATTCGTGCCTATATTTAATAAATGCTTTCACTCTTTAACAAATTTTAGGTTTCATTTATGCAATTTAATATTCACAGCCTTGCATGTTGGCACTCACCTGTAATCGCAGTCCTGGGAGGCTGAGACAGGGTGAGTGCTATGAGTGCTAGGCCAGGTGGCATGAAATAGCAAGACTGTGGCTCAAAAAACTATTAAGGAATTAATTATACTATAACCGATAATTTCTTTGAAACATTGACATAATAGCATTGACAATACTTTAAGAAATACAAAATTGAAAGTACGCAATCTAATGGAGAATTTCATGTCAACTGATCATATTTTCCTTACCATGAAAAAATGGAGTTTTGCCTTCATCACATAGCTATGTGCAGGATTCACAGACCAGGCATTTGACCAACCTAAAAGCTCTTGTGAAGTACCATACCACACCGTTCATTTGAACATCAGACTGCTTTCTGAAGAGGCCTAGCAGTTGCTACAAACGAATTGATTTGAGGACCTTTATTTAGCAGCAGGGCCCAATAGTCTCAGCTCAGTGGGTTAGCCTCCTCTCATGGACATGTTATGTACATACTGCTTAACCCAGGAAGCACTGTTTGCGTGATCGTTGCCCACTGGGCACTGCTATGTGAGAATAAGCTGTGAGTTGTTACAAATGAAGTGCCACTGACTACTTGAGCTAACTGATGAGTCTCAAGGGACTGCAGGGATGTCTTTTGGGCTGCATACCCTGCATTTATTGCCACCTTCATCATGAGTGACCAGTTCAGCTTGCACAAAAAGCCTGTCCGATTGTCCACCACCTGCCAAAAACATCACATTTTGCTTTCTCTCCCCTGAGGTCAGCTGAGGAGGCCCCTTGGAGCAGTAAAGTATCTCCCTTTTTCCTTCCTCCTGTTCACCTGTGCCTTTCTCACTACAGCCCAGTACAGAGCCCTGGGCCATTCTGAAAACTCCAGTATTTCCTCTTCACCTTCCAGACAGTTCTGGCACTGGTGAATGAACCCAGGGTCCTCCACAGAGCTTCATCCATGGGCCATTTTTGTTTCTTTCTGAACAGGGCCTCTCTAAGTTGCCCTGGGCTCAAATGAACTAGCCTCATACATGAGCCAACCCTATTGCTAGGACTATAGACATGTGCCACTATACCTGGATTAATTAATTTCTTTTGGGTTATTGGAGACAGGGTTTCGATGCATAACCCAGGCTGGCCTTGAATTTCCTGTGCCTCTCCAAGGTGGTCTCATGGTTACAGTAACCCTGTTGACTCAGCCTCCTGAGTGACAGAATCACAGCTGTGTGACACGAAGCCCAGCTTCTGATTTAAATTTTGAGAGATCTTCTGACTAAATTATCAAGACTGCACTTGACCTGAGGAAACTTTTACCTCAGCTTTCCTGCAATATTAAACTTTATCAAAACAGAAAACACAATAATACCTAAGAGGAAAGATTTTATAGAGCTCCCACTGCTGGTGACTGGTGGAGTTGGAACTCTGGCCCAGGCATGCTGGTGTCTGTCTAGATACTGTTTCTCCAACAGTTCCTGGAGACATCTAGATGTTACTGCAGTGTCATTTCTGTATTATTATCATTGGCATTGCTCTTAGTCATATAAGCATTATTCATATCATAGTTGATAAATAGTACTTGGAATCCATAAAGTAGGATGTAATGCGTGGAATGTAAAAATACAACTAAAAGGACAGCACAAGTAAAGGGACTTCCTCTTTCTCTCCATTTTACCAAAACTTTCACTTTTATAGTTTCCTGCAAAAGAGTTGTCTCCCCCAGTTGCCCAGGCTGGTCTCAAGCATCAGCTTACCAAGCAGCCAGGAATGCAGGTCCATAGCACTGTGCTAACCTTCTAGTTTTGTCAGTTTGAGGACCTGCTAACAGGTCTAAAATCAGGAATATAATATGTTTCAGACCTAGAGCTGGGGTCGGTAACTTAAGTAGTGGGGAGAGGGTGTTATTTTGTAAGGTGTGGGCCATTGGATCCCTGCGTCAGCAGTTCAGCTAACGGTGTAGACACAGCACAGAGGTAACTATAAACCATACGGAGGTGGAGCATTATAGCTGTGCCCACTACAGTTATGAAACAAACACCAGGGATGGGCAGGTTATTAATAAATATTTTTGTTAATTTTCAGTTGACAGAAGCACAAGACCGAGGTAAAAGCTCTGTGCAACACGACGAAAAAACGGAAGAACCCTTAGACAGGTATGGCTTAACCAAATGACTTGAGCATCTCTAAAGGAAATCAGCAGCATAATATGAGACATATTGCAGTTATATAAGTACTAAATCTTCATTAGGCCAGGGGAAAATTCTAGCTTTGATAAATTTACCTGAAAGGAGTAATTTAGGGGAGCAGAAATAGTACAGTGAGGAGAGAGCATGTGCTTTCCACGTGGAGCCCTGTGTTCACTCCCAATAATGCCAAAGAAAAAGTGTCAACAAGCACAATGAGAAAAATCTTACCTACCAAATCATCTACTTTTTCTAACTTTTAAAATTGTGAGTAGTCTTTCAAAGGTTATGCATTTTTAACAGATCTGTGCAAATAATTATTTTGAAATCAATATTTTAGGATTGAATTGGTGTGTTCACACCTGAAAGAAAATGTTCAAAGTCTCGAAATGGAGATTTTGAGCCAGACAAAGAAAAGGAAGAAAACAGCAGGAAAAGTTGAACATGCTCAGAAACACTTGTCAAATGACAGTTTGGTGAGTCCATTTGATTTTAATTTCTATCGTACTTGAAAGGAGTTCTTATTTCTCTGCTAGTACGTAGGAATATTTTAGGCACTATGAAAAGTTTCACTGATAAAAACACTTGTTGTAATCATATTGATACCTCCTTACTAGCAGTAGTGACGTCCTCTTAACTTTATGGAAGATAAATGGTTTCATGCAATTCATGACTTTGGCAGTGATATTTTAATACAAAAGATTTTTATAGCCTAAAATCCCTATTTTACACATACCACATTTGTTTATCCATTATCCATTGAAGGATTTGAGAGTTATTCCCACACTTCTTTGGGAATCATGCTGATCTGGACATTGATATATTACTGTGTGTCACGAGTCTCAGCTAATATGATACAATAACTTTTAAAATTCCAGGAAATTGAATTGCTGAATCTAAGCCTTTGAATATCTGTTGCAATGAAAGCTTTTCCATGATATTTTGTAATTTATATGGTCACCAAGAATGGATAGAAGGGTACTACACAAGCATTTTCCCCAGAGACACTTTATTTCTCTTTGACTGTAAGCAAGGAAAAAGATGCCAGTAACAAAGTAGAAATGGATATTTGTCTTACTGAGGAACTAGTGGTCCTAGCATTGCAGTTTCATGATTTTTCCCCATTGATTAGTGTTTATCAGCCATTTAAACTTGTCCAGTCTAAGAGTAATGCATAAGACTGGGTGACAGTTTGTTGATGTGTAATGAAAACCATGTACCTCTTGACCAGGCAGAGGAGATTCTTCTGTGGCCCGTGTTCTCCTGTGTGGGAATTAGGACCACAAGGACACATTGTGTGCATGGAAGTGGAGATGTGAGGTGGCTCCTTCCACTGACTGATTTGTTAAAGTCACAGCAATTTGATCCATCGAGCTCCATTACACAGATGCTTGTTGCTATGTCTCCTGCCTACCTGTCCCCCAAACTCTCAAGGAGCTATAGATGGGTGTTTTTCATAGGTGACTAGATCTGTAGAATATGATGTTGGGATTCAGGATATGTGATTACCAAGTTGGTCCACCGGTTGGTTTGGCATAGTTCTGGGATCAAGGATGTGATGTTAAGATTAAGGGCATAAGTGCTACCTGCCCTAAAGGTGAGTACCTGGATAAGATGTAGGGACAGAAAAAAGCTTGATGCTGCTGCTGCTGCTGCTGCTCCTGCTTGTCTTCTGGTCCGTGATGCCCCTCTGCAATGCCTCCCTGTTCTGGAGCCAGCCTAGTATGAACTGAAACCTCTATAAACTGTGAGTTCCGAACCTTTCCTCTCTTAACTTGTGAGTCTGGGTATTTTGTCTCAACAACAAGAAAAGACTTGTTATAAGGGAGCTACAGAATTCTGCCTAGTGTTTTCTATGATGAAATGTGGAGAAACAATTTTTTCTAGAATTCAAATAAATTAGTCCTGTTGTTGTACTATACTTTTCATACACATAACATGCTGACATGTTGATAAGGTGTCGTTTGTGAATTAAAATGCCAGGGGCCATCATCTTACTTTAAGTGTCATATACAAAGGTATTGAGATGTTGAAAAATTGGTAGTGGTACCATGTACAACTGGAAAATATTCAAAAAAGACAATGTGGTCCATTGGAAAGCAACATTATAAAAGAAAAACAAGGTGAATTATGACGGGTGCCATTCTAACAGTGAGGCCTCCAGCCCTAGATTAGAAGATTGCAAAATTCAGATTGAAACCCATGTGAGTCACTTTGCCATGTGTAGGACTCAGTGCAGAAGGAATCCATACCAAATAATGGCTGATGAGGTTTTGTTCTGGGAGAAGTAAACTAAAAGGAAGAAGGGAAAGTGTAAATGACCCCTGTGCCGAGACATTTTGTGTACCCCAGGCTGGCCTTGAATTTCCTGTGCCTCTCCAAGGTGGTCTCATGGTTACAGTAACCCTGTTGACTCAGCCTCCTGAGTGACAGAATCACAGCTGTGTGACACGAAGCCCAGCTTCTGATTTAAATTTTGAGAGATCTTCAGACTAAATTATCAAGACTGCACTTGACCTGAGGAAACTTTTACCTCAGCTTTCCTGCAATATTAAACTTTATCAAAACAGAAAACACAATAATACCTAAGAGGAAAGATTTTATAGAGCTCCCACTGCTGGTGACTGGTGGAGTTGGAACTCTGGCCCAGGCATGCTGGTGTCTGTCTAGATACTGTTTCTCCAACAGTTCCTGGAGACATCTAGATGTTACTGCAGTGTCATTTCTGTATTATTATCATTGGCATTGCTCTTAGTCATATAAGCATTATTCATATCATAGTTGATAAATAGTACTTGGAATCCATAAAGTAGGATGTAATGCGTGGAATGTAAAAATACAACTAAAAGGACAGCACAAGTAAAGGGACTTCCTCTTTCTCTCCATTTTACCAAAACTTTCACTTTTATAGTTTCCTGCAAAAGAGTTGTCTCCCCCAGTTGCCCAGGCTGGTCTCAAGCATCAGCTTACCAAGCAGCCAGGAATGCAGGTCCATAGCACTGTGCTAACCTTCTAGTTTTGTCAGTTTGAGGACCTGCTAACAGGTCTAAAATCAGGAATATAATATGTTTCAGACCTAGAGCTGGGGTCGGTAACTTAAGTAGTGGGGAGAGGGTGTTATTTTGTAAGGTGTGGGCCATTGGATCCCTGCGTCAGCAGTTCAGCTAACGGTGTAGACACAGCACAGAGGTAACTATAAACCATACGGAGGTGGAGCACTATAGCTGTGCCCACTACAGTTATGAAACAAACACCAGGGATGGGCAGGTTATTAATAAATATTTTTGTTAATTTTCAGTTGACAGAAGCACAAGACCGAGATACAAGCTCTGTGCAACACGACGAAAAAACGGAAGAACCCTTAGACAGGTATGGCTTAACCAAATGACTTGAGCATCTCTAAAGGAAATCAGCAGCATAATATGAGACATATTGCAGTTATATAAGTACTAAATCTTCATTAGGCCAGGGGAAAATTCTAGCTTTGATAAATGTACCTGAAAGGAGTAATTTAGGGGAGCAGAAATAGTACAGTGAGGAGAGAGCATGTGCTTTCCACGTGGAGCCCTGTGTTCACTCCCAATAATGCCAAAGAAAAAGTGTCAACAAGCACAATGAGAAAAATCTTACCTACCAAATCATCTACTTTTTCTAACTTTTAAAATTGTGAGTAGTCTTTCAAAGGTTATGCATTTTTAACAGATCTGTGCAAATAATTATTTTGAAATCAATATTTTAGGATTGAATTGGTGTGTTCACACCTGAAAGAAAATGTTCAAAGTCTCGAAATGGAGATTTTGAGCCAGACAAAGAAAAGGAAGAAAACAGCAGGAAAAGTTGAACATGCTCAGAAATACTTGTCAAATGACAGTTTGGTGAGTCCATTTGTTTTTAATTTCTATCGTACTTGAAAGGAGTTCTTATTTCTCTGCTAGTACATAGGAATATTTTAGGCACTATGAAAAGTTTCACTGATAAAAACACTTGTTGTAATCATATTGATACCTCCTTACTAGCAGTAGTGACGTCCTCTTAACTTTATGGAAGATAAATGGTTTCATGCAATTCATGACTTTGGCAGTGATATTTTAATACAAAAGATTTTTATAGCCTAAAATCCCTATTTTACACATACCACATTTGTTTATCCATTATCCATTGAAGGATTTGAGAGTTGTTCCCACACTTCTTTGGGAATAATGCTGATCTGGACATTGATATATTACTGTGTATCACGAGTCTCAGCTAATATGATACAATAACTTTTAAAATTCCAGGAAATTGAATTGCTGAATCTAAGACTTTGAATATCTGTTGCAATGAAAGCTTTTCCATGATATTTTGTAATTTATATGGTCACCAAGAATGGATAGTAGGGCACTACACAAGCATTTTCCCCAGAGACACTGTATTTTTCTTTGACTGTAAGCAAGGAAAAAGATGCCAGTAACAAAGTAGAAATGGATATTTGTCTTACTGAGGAACTAGTGGTCCTAGCATTGCAGTTTCATGATTTTTCCCCATTGATTAGTGTTTATCAGCCATTTAAACTTGTCCAGTCTAAGAGTAACGCATAAGACTGGGTGACAGTTTGTTGATGTGTAATGAAAACCATATACCTCTTGACCAGGCAGAGCAGATTCTTCTGTGGCCCGTGTTCACCTGTGTGGGAATTAGGACCACAAGGACACATTGTGTGCATGAAAGTGGAGATGTGAGGTGGCTCCTTCCACTGACTGATTTGTTAAAGTCACAGCAATTTGATCCATCGAGCTCCATTACACAGATGCTTGTTGCTATGTCTCCTGCCTACCTGTCCCCCAAATTCTCATGGAGCTATAGATGGGTGTTTTTCATAGGTGACTAGATCTGTAAAATATGATGTTGGGATTCAGGATATGTGATTACCAAGTTGGTCCACCGGTTGGTTTGGCATAGTTCTGGGATCAAGGATGTGATGTTAAGATTAACGGTATGAGTGCTACCTGCCCTAAAGGTGAGTACCTGGATAAGATGTAGGGACAGAAAAAAGCTTGATGCTGCTGCTGCTGCTGCTGCTCCTGCTTGTCTTCTGGTCCGTGATGCCCCTCTGCAATGCCTCCCTGTTCTGGAGCCAGCCTAGTATGAACTGAAACCTCTATAAACTGTGAGTTCCGAACCTTTCCTCTCTTAACTTGTGAGTCTGGGTATTTTGTCTCAACAACAAGAAAAGACTTGTTATAAGGGAGCTACAGAATTCTGCCTAGTGTTTTCTATGATGAAATGTGGAGAAACAATTTTTTCTAGAATTCAAATAAATTAGTCCTGTTGTTGTACTATACTTTTCATACACATAACATGCTGACATGTTGATAAGGTGTCGTTTGTGAATTAAAATGCCAGGGGCCATCATCTTACTTTAAGTGTCATATACAAAGGTATTGAGATGTTGAAAAATTGGTAGTGGTACCATATACAACTGGAAAATATTCAAAAAAGACAATGTGGTCCATTGGAAAGCAACATTAAAAAAGAAAAACAAGGTGAATTATGACGGGTGCCATTCTAACAGTGAGGCCTCCAGCCCTAGATTAGAAGATTGCAAAATTCAGATTGAAACCCATGTGAGTCACTTTGCCATGTGTAGGACTCAGTGCAGAAGGAATCCATACCAAATAATGGCTGATGAGGTTTTGTTCTGGGAGAAGTAAACTAAAAGGAAGAAGGGAAAGTGTAAATGATCCCTGTGCCGAGACATTTTGTGTACCCCAGGCTGGCCTTGAATTTCCTGTGCCTCTCCAAGGTGGTCTCATGGTTACAGTAACCCTGTTGACTCAGCCTCCTGAGTGACAGAATCACAGCTGTGTGACACGAAGCCCAGCTTCTGATTTAAATTTTGAGAGATCTTCTGACTAAATTATCAAGACTGCACTTGACCTGAGGAAACTTTTACCTCAGCTTTCCTGCAATATTAAACTTTATCAAAACAGAAAACACAATAATACCTAAGAGGAAAGATTTTATAGAGCTCCCACTGCTGGTGACTGGTGGAGTTGGAACTCTGGCCCAGGCATGCTGGTGTCTGTCTAGATACTGTTTCTCCAACAGTTCCTGGAGACATCTAGATGTTACTGCAGTGTCATTTCTGTATTATTATCATTGGCATTGCTCTTAGTCATATAAGCATTATTCATATCATAGTTGATAAATAGTACTTGGAATCCATAAAGTAGGATGTAATGCGTGGAATGTAAAAATACAACTAAAAGGACAGCACAAGTAAAGGGACTTCCTCTTTCTCTCCATTTTACCAAAACTTTCACTTTTTTTTTTTTTTTTATTTAAGAGGAAAAAGAGAAAAACACAAAACAAACCAAAGCGGTGTAAGGGTACACGTAATACAGAACTACAAAAAAAACAAAACAAAACAAAACAAAAACAAAGCAAACAAACAAACAAAAAAAAACATAACAGTAAGAAATCACCTGTTAGTATATTACATATTATCATCTTGAAAATAGTTCCTCAAATCACAGTATCAAAGAATACAAGGTGGACATTCAAACAGGTAGACTGCAAACATCTGTGTTCAATGATCCACAAACATTGATACAGTCAGCTATTTAACACCCCTAAACACACTTGCTGTTATATCCGTTAGAGCTCTTTTTTTTTTCTTCCCCTCTGTTTTTTACAACAAAATTCACACACTTTGGATTTCATTACTCCTTAGTGCTTATTACTTTTGGGGAAGGGGGGGAGAATACAGTCAAATATGGCAAAACAAAGCTGTCAGTCAATACCAAGGATAGACATAGCACATGGTGTAGAACACAGTACAAGTTTATCAACTATGGTTATCAACGTTGTCCCTTGTTTCCTTAAAAAGAATTGTCTATCTCATTAGATATTATAAAGTTGGACAAAACAGTAGAGAACAAGACCAATACAACTTAGGCATTGTAAACATTACAGGACTTCCAAAGAAGACAATAGTCAAACCAGAATGGGTATCTTAGTGAATCTTATTGTCTTCAAAGTAGTTGCCTATGTCTTCAAACTTGATACTACCATATAGAATGGAACAGAGTCTAATCAGTCAAAACAAGATCGTGGGAGTACTACAGGACTTCAAAACAAGTTAATAGGAAATCAAAAAGAGTTATTATTTATATATCCTAATTATTTGAATTTTTTCTTTAATTAAGACAAACATAAGAAATGACTAATTTTTTTAAAACAATAAGGGGGAGATTGAGATAAAACAGGACATAACAATATAACAATAGAGGTCACAGCATGACTGTTTCAACAACCTAGTACTTCACCACCATATAACCTGACTTAATAGTAGTTACCATAGTGTCTTTTTCCTTGAAATATTTGGATAAAACTTCATATACTCTAGCTTCAAATATTTTCAAATCAAGAAGCCCAGAATAAAGCCTTTCTAATTAATGAGTGAAAACTTTATAAGGCTCCAAGGCCACCTAATGGGGAATCATGATTACCACATATTTTTATATATTTGAATCATTACTTACATTAGGGAAACTATTCGGTATTCACACATGCGAGATTGATTTATTTCACTTATGAGTATGGTCTCAAGCTGCGCCCATTTATTGATAAATATCTCAATGTGATCCTTCTTTATAGCTGAATAATACTCCATTGTATAGAAATACCACAACTTTTTTATCCATTCCTCAGTTGATGGACACTTGGGTTGTTTCCATGATCTGGCGATTACAAATTGTGCTGCTATAAACATAGGTGCACATATATCACTGTGGTATGATGCTTTCAGTTCTTCTGGGAATATGCCTAGAAGTGGAATAGCTGGAATAAATGGGACTTCCAGTCCCAACTTTTTGAGAAATCTCCAGACAGATCTCCACAAAGGCTGTACCAGTCTACACTCCCACCAGCAGTGCAGAAGAGTTCCCTTTTCCCCACAGCCTCTCCAGCATTTGTTGTCGGTTTTCTTGATCCTGGCCATTCTTTCAGGAGTGAGATGGTATCTCAGTGTGGTTTTAATTTGCATTTCTCTAATGACCAATGATGATGAGCATTTTTTCATGTATTTATTTGCCATTTGCATTTCTTCATCTGAGAATTGCGTATTCATCTCAGATGCCCATTTTTGGATTGGATCTTTGAATTTTGGAGGTCTGAGTTTCTTTAATTCTTTATATGTTTTAGACAAGAGGCCCTTGTCTGAGAGAGAGTTCACTAAAATCTTTTCCCAGTTTGTGGGTTTTCTTTTCACTATGCTGCAGATTTCTTTTGACATGCAGAAACTTTTTAATAAGAAGTGGTCCCAGTTATTGATTCTGGGAAGTATTTCCCGTGCGGTTTGAGTCCTGTTCATGAATTCTTTACCTACTCCTATGTCTCCAAGGTTTCTACCTAATTTGTCTTCCAATAGATTTAGTGTTTCTGTTTTAATATTCAGATCTTTGACCCATTTAGATTTTAATTTAGTACATGGTGATAGACATGGGTCTAGCTTTAGTTTTTGGCAAATGGAGAGCCAGTTTTTCCAGCACCATTTATTAAAGAGACTGTCGTTCTTCCAGTGAACCTGCTTGGCTCCTTTATCAAAGATAAGGTGGTTGAGTGTGTTCGTAGTTGTGGTTGTATCTTCTAATCTATTCCACTGATCTTCGGCTCTGTTTTGATTCCAATACCATGTTGATTTTACTACTGTTGCTTTGTAGTATAACTTCAAGTCAGGGATTGTGATGCCTCCTGCTTTGTCTTTGCTGCTTAGAATTGCCTTTGCGATTCTGGGTCTCTTCTGGTTCCAGATGAAATTTAGGAGTGATTTCTCTAGATCTATAAGGTATGTTGATGGAATTTCTATTGGGATTGCATTGAATCTGTATAACAG